GTACAATATCTGTCATTTGAAATCATCCAATATATGCAACGGAGAGAGGGCTCAGTTTAAAAGAGAAGACACATCCCGATACCACAAAATGATGGGAAACAAACAGTATCAGTATAGGATTGAAATCATCATCAGCATCAGCAGCAGCAGCAGCAGCAGCAGATCCCATTATGAGGCAAGTACGTGTTCTTTAACTGCAGCAGCCCCCCGCTTGTGAAGAGGAGCCATCTCTTCCGCCAGATGGCCCTGGGATCCCTCCATATCCAACTTTTATGCCGTAAGACTGTTAAGGATATGTACACGAAAACTCAACATGAGCAGCAGGTATAAACAATATAGATATTTAGATGAACTCAATCACAAACAAGTTTATGTTACCGTCACCAAGGAACAGTATTTCTATCAAGCATGAATGGTTGTTTAAGTCATTGAGTGAACCCAAATGTTTTCCATGCAAGATCAACTCATATTGTCTTCGTAATGCCAAAGTTCAAGAACAAAGAGACACATCCTAAAAATAAACAGTAGAAAATAGCGTAGCGCTTGGATATCATTTGTTCAAAGTCCCAGATAAAAAGGCATGCATATTCATTGCATATCAGCACCTATTAATCAAAATACATGTTGAAAATTGAAATCTCAAAAATTCTAGTATAGTGTACAAAAACAAAAAGTATACGCAAAAAGGAAGGATAGAGTTCACAATACTAGCTCAACCTAATGAAACATATAACTGCTATGACCAATGCATAGTTGCGTGATTCCCTGAACCCCCTCGAACTGTCGAACAGTTCATACGAACCGATTCCCTCCGATACACGAATTGGTTCCCCAAACTTAGCTTACCCCTTACTAAATATCAGGAGACCAAGTTGATTTACTAGTCTGTTTTCATGCACATGCGCTTGGATTTTTTTATACATTTCGATAATATTATTGAAAGTATTCTTTCAGTTAGTGAAAGTTACCCAAATTTAATAACTAATTTCTAGATCACTATTTCTTTAGCTGATGTTACTAAAATGATTTTGTCTGGGCCTATTAGTAGCTCTTTAGCTGAAAGAAATTGGAGTAATTATTCCTACATTTATAGTGTGAAAAGGAATGAATTGAATAGTGAAAGGGCTGATAAGTTAGTATTCATTCATTCAAACCTTCGCCTCCTGTCACGATTTTGTGATAATTACAAAGCTGATCCATATAAAGGATGGGATATGGATCCCAATAATGATAACTTAGAGGACTCTTCAAGTAAGTTGGAGGAGCTTAGATGGAATTGTTTGAACTCGGAATTAGCATAAGATGCACAAAAGTTACAAAATAGAAAAAAAAAATTATTAAGAGATTGTCCAATATTTTAATATTTTAAGTTTTATGTATTCATAAATTATAAAAATAAAGTATTAAAGTATTGTGTATGAAAAAAAAATTAAAATGCATAATTAGTTTTCTAGTTTCTGATTTCCTACTATACGCTTTGAAAAATGATAAGCGTACTTAGAAAAATTACATCGTATCCTATATCGAACTTGCATATCGAAGCAAGCTACCCCTTGTCGAATCCAAAATTTCAAAGTCTCCAATTGCGTACGCGAATTCGTACGATGACCCGCTATGTACAGCGGACCATGTAACTATGTTTTGAAAGTTATTGGGGGTTTACAGCAAAATGCTGAAGTTCATGGGGGTTTAGTGTTTTACTCAAGACTCAATGTAAACCTATGCAGCAGTATGAACTATTAGGAAGACCTTTATCCTAAATTAAACTCCATTTCGTCCTCAAGATAATCATATTGCTTGCAGATGCTAATGCTCCGGGAATTTCCTATGAAGTAAGTTTAATGACAAGACATCTTGACACAATACAATATGCTGGCGTTATAATTTATTTCGATCTGATGGGATTCAGTTACTGTTCCTAACATAGCATAAGGAAAGAAACCTACAAAATAAACACCATAAGGAAACCTAAAACACACAATACTTGACTTCAATGTGTGTCCACACGTGTCAAAAAGCACACTGATGCCTATACAAGGAAAAAGATCCATCAAAATAAATTCCACAAAAAGCAAAGGAAATAAGTCAAATAACTAACCTCATTGGATACATCAAACACCCCATCCTGGATTTTCTTGTAGATCATTGATGCTGTGCTAATAAATGCCTGAATTGATTTTGGAAGTCAAAAATATTAAAAGGAGAATGACAGCCTAAATGATCTTCCTTGCATAGAAATTTACAAGATTTACTTACCTCCTCAACATTTTGTGCAGTCTTTGCAGAGGCTTCCATAAAGATCAAACCATGCTCTTTAGCAAACTGCTCTCCTTCTTCCGTGCTGACAGCTCTCCTGTGAGCTAGGTCACACTTGTTTCCTATCAGCATGATTGTCATATTAGCATTCGCGTGCTGCCTCGCATCTTCCAGCCAGCTTGCTAGATGATTAAATGTTTCTCTCCTGAGTTTAAAATAGAAAAGTAAGCTGGCGGAGTTTAATAACACAGTGAAAAGTAAGAATTCCAAACTGGAAAGCAGTTTGGAAAAGTTAGAATGATTGCCCATTAAAGAAACAGAAAAAACCTAGTAATATCATAGACCAGGAGGGCCCCAGCAGCACCTCTGTAGTAGGATCTTGTAATAGATCGGAAAGATTCTTGCCCTGCCTGAATCATTAAATAAAAATTAAGAGATTAATTTGTAAAAATAGGAACCAACAAAAGATCCTCTGTGGTTTAGAATAATATTCATGAAACAGGAACAGCATGGTGATTTAGTCATGTTTTACTTCTCCTGTGAGTCCAATATTCAGTTACTACATGTTTTGCCAGAGTTCCTAATACCATCAGCCGCTTATGGAATGATCCTTACCAATTCACAGTTCCCAAAGCTTAAATGATTCATACACAAACCTATCTTCTAATAACCTCACATCTGACACTGATCTTCACTCCTAAAAGCAGGAACCAACAAAACCTCCTCGGTGGTTTAAGATATGCATAAACCTTACCAACCACACCTTCTGCTAAAAGAAAATGCAGATAAAAAATGCACCCATGCACACAAATGATTTCAACAAATCCAAGACACGATGATTTCTCTCAAAAACATGTTTATCTTGATTAAGAGTCAATGAGAACTCTTTCCATACAGCAAATAAAACCATATTGACTGTTGCTGCCCCTAAATGAAACCCCTGTAGTCCTACTGTTGCTGCCCCTGAATGAATTTTTTTTAACTCTTTTAACCAAAGGAGGTCTATTTGTCAAAAACACAATTTCTCTTTCTCCAAGGATAAAAGAGTAAAAAGGATTTAATCATAGGGTCTACTGCAAAATTAGAACTACAGGTGTCTATCCACAATAACCCTAAACAAAATTTTGACTGGCTGAAACATAATGTCTGCATCCATATTGACCAGATTCCTTGCTGATGAAACTATAGACTGCAGAATGGTTTGTCATATCCTAGCAGACCAATTTGACACTAGAAAATCTAACTGACTAGGTTTTTCTCATATATTTTCATAAAACTAAAGAGCAACTATCTAAAGCTCTCTTTGCCTAACAACGATTCTTGAAGGGGGTAATTATGTTATAGGAAACAGTATCCATTTAGGTCCTTCCCTATTTGATGGCAAACCCAACTGCAGAGCTTAAACTTCATGACCAGGTGGCTATCTTCTACCCAGGATATAGATGTCATAAGACGGCAACTATCTAAAGCTAAGGAGCAACTATCTGAAGCTCTCTTTGCCTAACAACGATTCTAAAAGAGGGTAATTATGTTATGAGGAACTGTATCCATTTAGGTTCTTCCCTATTGGATGGCAAACCCAACTGCAGAGCTTAAAATTCATGACCAGGATGGCTATCTTCTACCGAGGATATAGATGTCATAAGACGGCAACTATTTAAAGCTCTTTGCCTAACACTGATTCTAGAAGAGGGTAATTATGTTATAGGGAACTGTATCCATTTAGGTTCTTTCCTGTTCAATGGCAAACCCAACTGCAAAGCTTAACCTTCATGACCGGGGTGGCCATCTTCTACCAAGGATATAGAGGTCATAAGACTGCACCAATGTTATCGATAGCGGATAGCGTCGCGTAGCGGTGAGGCATCGCTAAGGCTATTTCGGGCTATTGCGGTAAAATAGCGGTAAAAAACGCAAAGTCAAATAGCGGTCTAATTTAGATATGTATAAATACTAAAACAAATTTAAAAAAAAATCTAAGAAATCTAAACGTACATATTGGATGATTTAAAGAGATCCTAAACATGAAATAAACATGTAACAATCACATAATACCGAAGATGACTGGAGGAGTCAAAAAGTCGTATTTGAGAAGAAGAGCTTAGCGGTGACAGGACTGCCCAAAGAGGAGCTCATGGTGAAGGAGGTGAGAGGAAGTATCAAGGTAGGTGCCAGAGGCTATGAGAGGTGGCGGGAGTATGCTGAAAATCACAGGAGACGGTGGAATGTAATGGTCAATAGTTGAGTTTAATTTTAAAAAAATAAGTCTCAAACCGTTTTTAAATAGCAGTCAAAAAGCAAATTTCGAATGCAGTCGCTTACTATTTACCGTTATGACACACTATTGACCGTTTTTACGAACAGACATTCTGCAATATGTCACCGCTATTGTGCGATAGCGTAGCGGGCGATAGCGTCGCGGGAAGGGACCGCTAACGCTATTAACGCCGCTATTGCGGGGCTATTTACCGCTATTTATAACAGTGGACTGCACCTTCCTTGCCTGTAACGAACCTATAGAAGTTTTAACATGCCATTCAGAGTTGATCGTAGCTGTTAGCCAATCCATTCATGGAGTTTTTTTTTTCAATTTTTTCCCTTTTTTTTTTTGGTTGATGTTGCTCTGTAACTTTTCAATACCCTTCGCAAAGAAAGGCTTGAATCACAATGATATATTTTCATTTCACCATGAGAACCTTCTTGTTTTGAAGGAACTTTCTTAAAGAATAGACTCCAATACCTCTGGGATTGACCAAAAAGTAATTGTTCATGGAATTCTATGCTAGTCAACGTTAATAAATTAAGTTTCTAATTGCAATACATATATTGTGAAATCTATCTTGAGAAATACAAAGAAGTAAAAGAAATACCAGTGTACAATAACCCCCAAAAAATCAAGAACATGTAAACCACGGCATAAGCATGTGCTGATGATTAACCAATATATTTTATGACACATTACTTGGTAGGAAAAAAGGAACCTTGCGACAGTAGAAAATTTCAACAGCGAGGATAACTGATACAATTAAGAAGATGGGTAATATAAAACAAACCGTATCCCATATCTGCAACTTTATGGGCTTATTGTCAATTGTTATCATCCTAGCCCCGAACTCAACACCAATTGTAAGGTCATGCACAGGTTGGAACCTTTTATCAGTGAACTGCAGAAGAAGACATGACTTCCCAACCCCTGGAAAGAAGAGAAAACATTAGTAACCAGGATATCAACAAACTAAAATTTACTTACAAGACATCAATAAAACTAAGCTCTCAAGAAAGCTAATCCACATGAGAGGTAACTCAGTAAAGGCAAATCATTACCACTTCCACTTGATGAAGTTCTGACATTACCACTTCCACTTGATGAAGTTGTGAGACTACTACGTTAACCCCAAAAATTGCTAACAATTAGCTCCAAGGAATATTTCCAATTAAAAGTATCTTCTATATAAGATGGAAAATTTAATGCTACTGCTTGTGCAACATGGACAGTGGGGTCATGGGTAACTCGAGTTGTCCACGATAAGCGCACAATGACCACACCACGATGGAATTGTCAAGTCATGCCCAAAGAACAATTCCATTTAGTAGCTATTTGTTTCCTCTAAATCAGGATCGAAAGCTTAGAGTCATAAACATGTACCCTGATGTTGATTTTTATGGACTTCACTTTACATTGCCTGCTTCAAATGAAAAGAAGGCCTCGATATCACCTATGATTCGTTTATTGCCTTTGGAAAAATAGAAACTGTTTGACTCTTGTCTAGGGAATTGCTCACAGTAACCCAAAACAAAAAAGAAAAAAAATACAAATAAATTTAAATGAATCATCGAGAGCAGGTTCATATGAATGACAACTGTCTTTCCCTCTCCCCTTGCATGTCTATTTCATCCTAAACAAACCCGACATATTTTCATGAATCAAAGACTCCTTACAGCAATTCAAAGATAACAGAGCTTGTTGTTACTTTTGTTACATATTAGAGGTTGAAACCAATTTACTTAATCCAAATGGCCTCATATTTGGGTTCCAATTCTAGGATCAGTGCAATTAAGCAATTAGTGGAGCATTTAACCCATAAGCACCATCCTAATGTCAAGTTAATAGCATGCTCCTAGTTAAGCATCTTTAGATAAGAGAAACAAAGAATACTCCGGAAACCAGCCAGCAAGTAGCAAATCAACCATATTGATTATAAATGTCAACTCATTAAATTAGTGAGCTCCTCCTTCTCAAGGATGCCCTGGGCTTGGAAAAACTAGTGATCATGACACTTGGGGCTTATTGTTTGTGCCAACATATGAATATCTTCCTCATACAAATCTACGCTTTCCATGCATCAGACTTGAAGTTAATTTTAGAATTCAAAGTTCAAACCAGAATGAGCTAAAATTTTATAAGTAATAACATAGGCCTTGCTATGAGCAACGGTTTTAGGGACAACGGCAGATCACATGGCAATAGCATCAAGCAGATTGAGAAGGGGAACGCATAACTTAGCAAAGCAATAAAGAAAATGAAGAAATAAGCGTAAGGAGCAAACGCACATGGCGTTTAAGAAGAGGAATTAGGCTCTGTCAAGTTTATGCTACTATAGTTCAAACCTTTCTCAAGGTGCATAAAGGGTTAATCTCAGGTATGTATGCCCAGTTTCCTGCGTGTGCAAAGTTGACAAGATATCCTACACAGTCTAATTTGCGCCTCAAAATAGAAGATTCGTCCAATATTCCATATAAGTTGATTGAAGCCCTCTCATGGTAATTTGGATGATCCAATATGAAATGGGTCTATTGATAGTTTCCTCCCATGACATGAAAATATAATCAGGAGTATTCTGGCCGACTAAATGGCTCATAGATGCTGAATCCCACCTTGATGTAATTACATGACGACAACGACAACAAGAAGAAGAACAAAGCCTTTAATCTCAAATTTTTGGGATCGGCTACATGGATCCTATTCTTCCATTCATTTCTTATGGGCAAACCCCTCCGTTGGGTAAAATATTATCGAAGGCTCCTACTTAATTGCTCCCAACAGAGCATTGATCACATCCTAACTGGTGCATCTAGTGACCTTGATGCAATTATCTTGTTCAATTGAAGGAATTACAAAAGTGTGAGGCTAAATGGGGGAGTCTAAAGACCCATTGCGGCCATCCCAACAATGGAAGCGCAGGAGATTTCCATGAAACAAACTCGAACATCCAATTCTATCACCAAGTGAAACCATAAATTTTGAGCTTTTTCCAGGAAAATATGTTAGCTTCCTGCCTCCTCGGATTAAAAGTCATGTATCCTTCTCCTCGTTAACTGCAAATGAAATTCAACGCAAATTCCCTAACATCAAGATGAACATGAATTTACCCTAAAACCCAAAATCTAATAACGTGAAGGGCAACGGAAACAAAACAAACAAACCCTAGAACCAAAAAAAAAAATTGTGATCAAATCAGAGAGAGAGAGAGAGAGAGAGAGAGAGAGAGATACCGGTGTCTCCGATGATGATGTACTTGAAGAGATAGGCGTACGACATCTTCCCTTCGAAACCCTAATCAGATCAGATCGTGAAGAAGAAACGAACGCTGTCGACAGTTTGTTTTTTTGAGAGAGAGAAAAGAAAGGGAATTAGGATTTTATATTGGCCTCTGGTTTTTACCTTGTCGACAGGCTACAATCATCCACGTCAGCTGCATGTTGAAAACCGGGGCGGGGGTGGACCCGTGATGTGGAGCACGTGGGACCGCTTATCAAGTCTATCTATTGCTTGGTCAACATCTTGGGGCCCACAAAGGTTACTCTTCCTACCTGTACGTACGCATGTTATTCTTTGTAATACTCCAAACAATGAAGGTGATACTTACTCCTCTATACAAATGGGAAAAATCAAGATTTACTATTTATACTATAGTAATACTATAGTAATATTTACTATAGTATTATTACCGTAGAAAACATGGAACTGGACATTGTGGTTTTTGAAAAAAAAGTACTAAAGCACACCAGAATACTGTAGCAGAAGTGGGATACTGTAGAAATTCAATGATTCAAAAATACTGTAGCGGTTAAAAAAATGGATTACTGTAGCGGGGAAAAAGTATGACGTGCTTTGCACGGTGTTCACACTAGTTTATCTGTATACTAAAGCTATTCGGGTTATCACTTTTTATGAGCTACAATAAACCTAATAGTTTTGTATTTTTATTATTTATCTGCTATTTATTATTATACTATCGACTAACTTTTTGGAAAATTTCATTGTAGCTAAGTACCGTAGCTTTCAAAGTTTAGAAGATGGCAACGAAAAGGGCAATAATAACTGAACCATGGTAATCCTCATAAACCGCAGTAAAAACCACAGTAAAAAATAATAGTCAAAACAATACCTTCACTCTATAAAAAAAATAAAAGAAATACAAACAAGTGCATTGGTAGTAGCTAGGGGTGGAAATGAACCAAATAATTAACAAATAGTTCGATAGTTGTTTGAATAACTATTCGGTCATATTCGGTTTAATAGTTCATTTATCATTAAACAAATATTTTTTAATATTCGAGTTTACTAATGAATATAATTTAACCAAATATATATTCGATTTGTTAGTCTACTAAATATTCGTTTAAAATTTGATCACAACTTATTATTTGTATTATTGCACATATAATGTCATATTTTTAACTCATTTACCATTTTTACTTAAGTTTTATATACTGATTTTAAGACTTAAATAATCTTAAATATGTTTTCTAATTAAAATTTTGATTTATATATATATATATATATATATATATATATATATATATATATATATATATATATATATATATATATATATATATATACGTTTAAAATTTGATCACATCATATTACTTGTATTATTGCACATATGATGTCATATTTTTAACCTACATACCATTTCTACTTGAGCTTTATATCCTGATTTTAAGACTTAAATAATCTTAAATCTGTTTTCTAATTAAAATTTTGATTTAAATATATATACATCAATATATTATAAAGAAATAATTTTTATTTATGAATTTTAATATTATTTGAAAATTAAATTGTTTAGCGAAATAATATACTTTGATATTCGATAAGTATTCGTGAATATTCATGAATATTTATCAAATACCAAGTATTCGAGTTCGAATTCGAAAAACTAGATATATGAATATTAGAGTCCACATTTAAATTCGATAATTTTAAATAAATAAAAATATGAATACTTTAGTATTCAATTCAATTCGATCATTTACCACCCCTAGTAGTAGCTGATAAGATAACACAGTCATATGTAAAAAGTCGTTTATTTCAAGAAAACCCCCTTTACATGGTAAATTTTAGGAAAAAACATATGTTTTTTCTCACCGGTGCTCAATTAAAAGAAGCATATAAAAATAAAATAAATAGAGATTTATGTTTACTTTGATTCCCCCAAAATTTATCCACTTTTACACTTTAAAACAATAGGATTTTTCAACACTTTCAACCCCTAAAGTTTCAATGTCATTTCACTTTGATACCCCAAAGTACCTTTTTACCATTTTGATATACCAAAAATTCAATCTCGTTTCACTTTGATACCTCTATCTACATATTGTTAAATTTTCTACTAACTTTGTATCACGTGCTTACCAATTAAGTAAAAAGAGGTCCAATGTATCACATGTTAAGGACGTAATATAAATTTAGTAAGAATCTAACATGATATGGACGAGGGTATCAAAGTGCAACTTGATTGAAACTTTGGATTATCAAAGTGTCTAAGAAATATTTTGGGGGTATCAAAGTAAAATAAATTTTGGAGTATCAAAGTGTTAAAAATATACTTTGAGATATCAGGATAAAAAATTAGTAAACTTTTAGGGTGCCAAAGTGCAAATAGGCCAAAATATAGAAAAAGATATAGGTAAATTTTAGAAAACCACCCTTATAAATGGTCATTCATCACATAGCCTCCCCGGCTATAATCTTAAAATGCTCCAGAACTCACATTATATATGTTTTCATTATGTTTTGGATTCTAAAAAAATATTCCACCTTCAACATTATTAACATCGAGCATAGTTTTCACATGTGTGTAAAATTAGCATGAAAATATTTTTGCCTATAAAAATTGTGGTTCATGCTTCCTTTTTTTTTTTTGAAGATTTTCGAAAGTTAAATGGGATTAACTGGGAAAGGCTCAAACTTAAGGGGGTTTTGTTAAATTTTTCCAAAATAAAATGCCATTATTTCTCTAACTACTCTCTTCCCATTGTCGAGGACATACACAATGAAATTTTCTTCCTAAGTTTAATAAGAATTGAACACAAGCCTCTTTTCTCATTAAGGAAAGTTATTTACATAATAGAACAGTTGCATCTCTTGCATTTAGGGGAAACCAATTATGAATCTAAGCCTAATGAGCTCTTGTAGCTAAAGTAAGAACCGATAAGTTTTATTTTGGCTTAGTGGATCAAAATAAAAAGAATATAATACAATGCGAATACATCACTATGATTATTAAAATGAATAAAAAGATAAATGTACTATATGTGGTTATCTTAAGTAAAACTCTAAAAAAAATTATTAACAAACTAAAAAAAATTCTAAACCAAATATTTAACAATTATTTTTTTGGCTTCTTTCACATACAGTACAACTCCCAAAATATTTTTATCCAAAAATTTCAAAATAAATTTTTGAATGAAATGTTTAAACATGGTTAGATCAGTACTTAACTATGGATGAACAATTACTAAACTATTTCTCTACAAACTCTATCCAATTTGTTAATCATGATTAGATTAACCTTTAATTATGGATAAGTAACTACTAAATCATTCTCCATGAATAACTCGAGTTCACCAAGTGTTTGTTTTGCCTCTTTTTCTAATTCTCTCTTCAACTTCCGAGAGAGGTGGAACTTTTTCTAGTTTATCACTCTAAACATTGACACTAAAATCCTCTTCCCCCCTTCCCAAAAAAAAACCTCTGGCATGTTCTTGTATAAAATAAGGTATCCACTCTGAAAAAGTTAAAAATAGAAGGAATATTTCCTAAATAAAGTAAGTGCTAACTAAGGGAAATTAATTTCAAACAACTCATAATGATTTAGAGGATGTAAGAGCAATTCAATAATTTAGGTAACTAATTAAGATGCTTACATCTTCTTCTTTTTCCCCATAAATTAAAAGAGAAAATTCTTAATAAAATACTTAAACCATTAACTTTTATATTCTTTCTTATTAATCTGTTAGCAATACAACTTAGAAAAAATAGTTTTATCTGCAAATTAAGAAATTCCAAACTAAATGATTAAACCATTATTTTTTTATTTTGTTCACCCTAATGTCGCAACAACGCGCTGGTCAATTATGCTCGTTTTCTTATAAACTAGTTTCAAATCCGTACGATGCATGTATTTGTATTAAAAATATTATTAAAAGTTTAAATAGTTTGACAAATATTTACAAAACATCATTAAAAAAATAAAAACCTATTACACAGATTTCTATGCTTGGAGGTATTTTGTCAAGTGAGAATTTCTCAAGAAGAGGGGGTTAGTCATCTAGAACTTAAAATTGGAACCGGGATAATCTGTGGGATAATTTTTTAAGGTGTTAGTCACATAGAACTAAAACTAGAACAAAATTTTACAGTGTTAGTCAAGTAGAACTCTAACAAAACTAGAATTGGGATAATGGTACAAAATTATCTCAAGTAGAACTCTAACAAAACTAGAATTGGGATAATGGTACAAAATTATCCCACTTTTTTTATTTTTCAATACAAAAATGAGAGTTCTAGTCTCTCAAATTATTCCAAGTTTTAGCTTGGAACTAGTTGGTAAAAAACCATAACTCATATTTATTTTGTTATTTTTTATTTTTTTTATATTTTTTACTTTACTTCTTTTCTATTATGGTTATCACCATCATTAGACCATCATTATAATAATAATTGTCAATATCTTATAGTCTAACCAAAAGTTATTTAATAGTAAAGAACATTCTTGTAAGTAATTATCAATCAATAATAGTAAGTTTACAATACATAAATAGTATTTATATCTTCAAAATGTATAAATATATATTTCATGATTATAAAAATTTATTTTACGTTATTTTATCAAAATATCCCGCTTCACAAAATTGTTCCTATTTATCCCACTAAAATATCTCACTAGCGAAAAACTATTCCAGTTTAACAATTATCCCATTTTGCATGAAAATATCTCAATTGACTAACACCC